CTCTCTCTCTCTCTCTCTCTCTCTCTCTTTCTCTCTCTCTCTCTCTCTCGTTTCTGTCTGACTGTCTTATGTTTTCCCATCCGAAAATGACCGTTGTTGTGTCGATGTGCTTCTCTTTGCTCAAACAAACGAACAAATAAACAAACAAATAAACAAACAAATGGCCGTAAAAAAATCGTTTTCCCAATAAGTCAAGCTTTTAAAAATGCAATTTTTTTTATTACCTTTGTAACGGCTCCGATAATCTTACGAATTTCTTTTAGGACAGGTAGAGTATCTGGTTTCTAACTTGATGGACTTAGTGACTCAAAACAGCCAAAAATGTCAGAAAGAACTTTGTAATTTTAAGCAAGCGAATTTCTTCAGCCTATGAGGTGCGGCTCGTAGAGAAGTTTCCTTGTGTTATTCTGTTCACCAAAATACGGTTGGAATTCTGCAAAACGGCTACCTATTGCCGTGGAGAAAAGTACTGGTCTTAAGAGTGTCATTCTGACATTTAAGGGAGCGTTGTGTGAGACTTCACCTGAAAATTGGGTCAAAATATCGTTTTGAGGTTTTTGCACCAGTGAATATTTGAATGTGTACAGATATCAAATCCGGTATATCATTTTGCTGAGATAAGCATGCTGCATGTGAAATTTTGTTTCATATGGCTACTAATAGTATCACAGAAGGTCATTTTTGACTTTAATGGACATTTTCTCTTGCGGTTTTCATGTACAGCGTGTCACGAAAATCCTGAAATGTCGCTTACTTACTGCGCTAGAGATTTGAAATTTGTCACAGTGATGGCTTATCCATTTTTCTAGGTAATGGGTTAGTTATTTATTTTTTTTTGGGCAAAAGGCGAAATGGGAAGTGGTAGTTTGTTCACGTGATTGTCTTGGGCAGGGGGCCGCTAAAGCAGGTTCGACTGCTGTTAACAAAATTGTTTTAGTAGACTATTTCAAAATAAACTTTAGTATTGTACCTATTCAACATATCATTATGCTCTAGTAAGGTTTACACATGTTTTTCATGCCATGCACCTAGCGTTAAAAAAAACAAAATAAAAACAAAACTAGTGTCAACAAAATTGTTTCAGTATTTCAAAAATAAACTTTACTATGTTACCTATTCAACATATCAGTATTATCAGTGTGCTCCCCTAAGGTATACATATTTTTTCCATGCCATGCACCCAGCGTCAGAAAATAAAAAATAAACTAGTGTCAACAAAATTGTTTTAGTATTTCAAAAATAAACTTTACTATGTTACGTATTCAACATATTATAATTATGCTCCCTTAAGTTCTACACATCTTTTCATGCAATGCATCCAGCGTTCGAAAATAAATTATATGGACTAGTGTTCCTTTGTCTAAAGCCCTTTTTCCCCTCCCCTAGCCGACTCTCCAATCTCTTCATCTGCGTCCTCAAATAATCTGACCATGAAGCAGTTCTTTCAGTGTCACAAACGGAACAATCAGAAAGGGCGAAACCTGACCTAGATCTGGGGGAATAGAGTGGCATGCTCCAGCAAATCCCGCCAATAGCTCTGGACAAGTTCAGAGGTCACTGTGTGGGTCTGTGGACAGGTGCGTTGTCGTGGTTAATGATGACGTCAGATTCCAGCATACTGGTTCGGGTTGTTGTTGTTGTTGTTGTTGTTGTTGTTTTAAAATTTTAAACTTTTTTCAATTTTACTCCTTTATTGCATAATT